TAGGATCTGGGGAAGCTTCCAGCTAAGGAAACCTGCTCTAGAGTGCTGATCTGAGAACAGTCCATCTGTGCATGGCCTGGGGCTGCCTGGCCAGGGATAGCTATGGTCTCCTCTGGGTTCCTCCAACCTCCATTTTTGAAGCTTAGGGCCAGATCTTAGATGCAAGGAGGCACAGTGGAGCTGGCCAGGCTGAGAATGCCTATGGGTACTCCGCAAATCCCCTTTGCCTTGTCCTTGCCCGTCTCTAGGAAGGCAATTCTGCATAGGCCAACTTCCTGCAGAGTACACTGGCTCCTATGCACACTTTCTCAGGCTCAGGCCTCCTGGGTCCCCTCCAGGATCTCCAGACTTTTGTCCTCTGTACTTTCAAGGCCCCTCTACTGAGTACTGTGTCTTCCTGCCAAGTACTACAATGGGCAGAGCATGGCTGCTGTCCCTTCATGGCTGCCATGTCTCTTCTGCAGACCCTAATTGCTAACCTCTACCCTTGCCTTCAGTTGGGAGGGCAGGGGTTGCCCCTTTTCATTGGAAGCAAGGTGCATAGCAGCCTGGCTAGGGTTCAGCTCTATTGCCCTGCTGCCAGGTTCTAGTCTGCTTCCCATCCACCATCTCGTGGGACTCCACGCTGACCCCTCTCCTTCTATTCCTCACTGTGGCTCCCATGCTGCCCAATCCACCAATCTAAACTGGGCTCCTGGAAGGCAGAGCCCACTTGCAGCCTCCAACCATAGCTGTGTGTGGGCTCCCTCTCCTGCACACCCAGGTGAGCAGTGTTGTATTTCTTAGCTCTGCATCACCTGGGCTTCCAGGCCAGCTCCTCTGCCTGTACAGAGCTAATGGCAGCTGGGCTCTGGAGCTGCTCTAGGGATCTGATAGGAGCCCCTCAGCCTGCCCTGCAGGGAAGTTTATAGGAAGGGTACTTCAGGCAGAGGGAGCAATATGACCAAGTGAGAAGTGTACCTACATATCATTGAGTGGGAGTACTTGGATATGGATATGTTGGGACTGGCCTAGGTTTTTGATGGGGTATGACATTGTTTACTCTGTGCCTGTATAGCATCTGCCTAAGACAGGATGATTTGCTGCCTCTAGTGATATTGCCCATGTTAGCTCCAGATAGATCTGTCTCTCTCAAGGCCTAGTAAAGATTGTGCTCCTCACCCCAATACTTCATCCCTCCACTGACTGCTCTGTCCCTCCAGGTCCACAGCAAGGACAAGAAGTATGTGTGCAAGGTGTGCAGCCGTGTGTTTATGTCTGCAGCCAGCGTGGGTATTAAGCATGGTTCTCGTCGCCATGGTGTATGTGCAGACTGTGCTGGTCAGGGTGTGGCCACACCACTGGACCATGGTGGAGGTGGTGAGGGCTCCCCTGAGGCACTGTTTGCTGGTGAAGGGCCATACCTGGAAGACCCCGATGATCCACGAGGGGAAGTTGAAGAGGAGCTAGGTGAGGATGAGGATGAGGATGTGGCCAAATGGAAGGACGACGTGGGTTTGACACACGAGGATGCACTGCTGGGAGATGACAAGGATGACGAGGACTCTCCCCAGGGGCCCCACAGCCCCTCTGGGGAACCTGATAAAGACTTTGCCTGGATCTCCTAGGGGCTCTGCTCTGGTGGGCAGGGTGGGTGGTGGCTGAATCGCTTTGTCCACCTGTGTGTGTCTTAGTGGGTCTTTACTTACCAAGGAGCAGGGCCATGCTGACTCCTTGAAGCTCTTCCTCCGGGCCCTCCTCTGTCCTATAACCCTCCCCTCTTGCAGAAACTGGTCCTATGAGCTAAGAAGTGGGTGTGACTCCAGTGACTGGGGAGCACTAGGACTAAACACAAAGTGAGGGGTACAGTATGGGTTTAGGAAAAGGGAGAATGCCTGCTCCCACCTGCCCAGGTATTAATGGAGTCCCCAGCAGGTGTGTCTAGATGTATGGGCAAGGCTGCACCAAGGCCTGGGCATGCTTCCTCAGGGTATCAAAGGAGCCCTTTGCTGTGAACCTGGCTAGGAATGCAAGATGACTCAGTGGCCAGGTTAGGGTCAGCACTAGTTAGGGTCATGAGGGCAATCCCCCAGCCCACAGGTCTGAGTAGGTGTTGAGTTTTGCATAAATACAAATTGCTCCATCCACAGCATTGCTCAGTCTCCTCCCACCCCCATTCTCCGGCAGTCAGGTTATGGGCTCTGGCCCTGTCACTTTGTCCTCTTGGTTCCTGCTGCCCCATGGCAGCTGGTAGAATCTAGTGGGCATAAAGCCCTGCAACCCTCTTACCTCCAGGCTTTGGTGCTTAACACAAAGTGGCTGCAGATGCCTCTCTGGAAGCCCTAGGCTCCAGGTGCTATCTCTGTTGAAAGCAGCTAGCCAAGTGGCAGGCCAAAGAGGAAGGCGGCTCTGTTCAAGAAGGGCCCTGTGGCTGGATACTTTACCCTTTCAGGCCCACAGGGTTGAGTTGCAAGGGCCACAGCTCTTTGTGCTGTGTGCACTTTCTTTGAGAGCCCCATTGTGCACCCTGAGTTCTGCCTGAGCCCTTGCTGACCCCTCCTTGGACCAGATAGAGCTAAGCTCCTGCCTTTGTTGCTGCTAACACTGGAGGTGGGTGTTCCTAGCTGCAGTGTGCTGCGGATGCCTCCCTGCCTAGGAACCAAAATTTAAAGAAGTCAGAGACATTTTCAGGTGGTTACTACAGGTTACTTTGTTTTGAATTTTCTTTCTCATTTGACTCTTCATCAAGTCCACTTTCTGTATTTCTAAAGGCCCTCACACTTGTTCTGTGAAAAGTGTAGGCTTCATTTCCATGACTCTGAGGCCCAGAGAGGCAGCTGTCCACTCAACCTGCAGGGTAGACACAGATGCTGCAGCCTGCCCTCTTCTTGAGGCCATTTCTGACAAACTATCAAGACATTCCATCCCTCACACACCTCATCTCCTAAAGGCCCATGGCAGTGATGTTCAGTGAGCAGTGCAGTGAGCGCTCTGCTGAGGTGCCGTTGGCTAACCTACTCTGTGCAAGGGCTCCTCAGGCTACTGAGCATTGGGGCCAGTTAGAGAATTTTGTTTTTCCTTTCTCAAACACTAAGTCAAGTGGCATTTAGACTTTTTTTTTAAACTGGCACATGTTCTCTCTAGGTAAGTAAGAGGAAGCCCCATAAAACTGTAATTTAGGTCCCAATTGGTTATACAGAGCATGTCACCTGGTGACATTCCCCAAGTACCAGCTGCCTGAGCTACAGGAGGAAGGAATCACAGCTTTTATTGTTTTAAACAAAACAACAGTCAAGAGGAACAGGGCCAGGACTCTCTGCAGAGTGTAGGAACCACTGTCTGAAAGCTGTGTGCCCCTCTACTCACTGCCCTCTCCTCTGAGGCATGCTGGCTCTGGAGGACATTTCTGTCCAGTATGGTAGCATAGCTAGACGCCCTTTTACCAACAGAACTCCAGGTTGAGACCATCTAGCCTTGCCAGGCCCCTTGAGGGCTGTCAGACTTAGTACCTTCCTCTCTCTTTTAAATTGCCTTTTCTAAACACTTTCTTATAAAATGCATTTGGAAACTAGACCTTTGCTACCATTGTCTCTGGGTTTTTGTATCAGTCCCTACTTCTCAGGCTGTCCTGCCCAGGACCCAGGACCTCTGGCCCACCTCCCAAGGCACCTGTGCCCTCCACTCTCAGGATGTCTTGCTCTGACTGGCCCCACTTCCAGACTGCCTTTGCTGGCCTTTCTGGGGGTTCCCTGTTGGTAACGCAGGGCACTTCCTTAAAACCAGTACTGTACCAGGAAACTAAGGGTCCCAGTTCTGGTCCCACCACCTTCCAAGTGTTTGCCATGTGACAGGCTTTGTTCTGGCTCAGTTTCCAACTGGAAAGTGGAATTCTAGAGATCCAGATGAACACATCCATCTCAGGAGGCATGGAGGGAAAGGACGTATGTATTGAAGTTTTTTTTTTTTAATGTGACTTTTTTTAATTCAATGTTCAAACTAATAAATATTTTTTTATGAAGAAAATGTGTAGATTACATTTCACATTTTGTATTTTTTGTGTGTGTATTTTGGTGTTTGAAACACCAAAGTGGAAAATATAGTCCATGGGGTGGGTGTTGTTAGGGTTGAGGTGGGAACAATATGATTTTTGTTTGGATCTCTGGATCCTGACCAGTTTGCATACTGAACTCTGAGTTTTGGGGAACAGGACACTGCTAGGACCTGACAGGGACCTAACTCAAAAGACACAGCTATGCTTCCAATTCTGCACATCTTCCTTTAAAAACAAACAAAACAAAAACCTGAGAAAATGCAAACTGGAACTTTTTGCAATATTATGAAAGATAATCTTACTTTGGCTCATTCTATGACATGTACAACTCCTAAGAAAGCCATACTTAATGGTGGTATTATTTTTTAGATCCTATTGTGTTTTGTATGTGGCTCTTTTAGAATCACTTGTAGTGAGGGTGCTGTGTGTATGCTTTTCTTATTTATTTATTTTTCAACATGCTTTCAATCTGTCAACAAAAAGTGAAAAAAAAAAGGCAGTGTTTGAAGAGTGTTGATTTTTTTTTCTGGAGATAATCTATATTATATTGACTTTATATTAATTATTATAAACCTGTGTTTGTACTGAAGATGTGGTTAATATTTGCAGAAGGCTTGTCATAATCAGTTGTTGGGGTTCACAGCCCTGTTGTCCTGCTTCTATATAGCCACAGACAAGTAAAGATTACCTTCTCTATAGTGGTTCTTGCGATTTCTTGTCTGCCTAGGTGTGCTCCAGGTTGCCTGTGGGTTTTATTTCTGTGATGGGATTAGTGTAGACATTCTTGCAAAATGATCACTTCAAATAAAATGGGAAATTGCTGCTCCATGCAGATGCCTCCTGTGTGGTTTCAAACAGTACCCTTCCTTGGACTTCAACCTGAATGGAGGTAGCCGCCAGCTCCTACTGCTTATCATTCATTTCCTGTTACTCTCCTAGTTCCATTTCTTTCCCCAGGAGAAAACATTGGTTTCTGGAAAAACAAACAAACAACCCCCACAGTTTTTAATTTTTCTCCTTGGCTGATATAACCCAGACACAAGACACCTGAACTTCATTAACATGGTAAAATGTCAGCCCCAGGGGGGCCTGGAACCACCATCTTTAAATGTGGGCAGGAGAATACTCTCCCTGACACCTCTCAAAGTGCAACTTAAACAGGCTTTAGCAGAGCCCACTGACATCTTTGACAAGTCTGTGAGTGACAGGCAGGGAGGCAAGCTGCCTCTGGAGCTAAAAGGACAACATGCAGTTTGGCTTTAGTGCAAAAGGCTGGTTTCTTCCAAGGCACTTGGAGTAGTGAGTCACTCCTCCACCTCTAGGAGTCCAAGGTCATCAAATCCATCACAGGTTTGCTGTAGCTTCAGGCTGGGAGTGGGAGAAGGGCCAGGCAGTAGCATCATGGGATGGGCTCAGTCCAGGAACTGCTGGCAGACTTTCTTCCAGCGGCAGGCTGTGTACACAGGTCCCTGTGGTCCACGCCATACACTTTCCAGCACTTCTTGGAATCACCCCAGGGCTTCCTGGAGGGGACATACAGGGGGGATGGAGAATTGTCAGCTAATACCTTTACCACCTAGTATATGCCCAGTCCCCCAACCTACACATACCAGGATGACCCCAAGCTTAGCAGACAGGGCTGGTATGTAGGCTTGGGCCTCAGTGGGCTGTGGCTCCAGGTGGTTGGGGGCCAGGCATCTCTGGAAGGAGTCACAACCCCTGTTCTGTTTCTCTCTAGAGTGCTCTGAGACCTGCCCCCAATCTTCATCTGTGGCCTCACCTTGCTGGTAGGCTTGGTCACTGTGGCATACCTGTGGAACAGCTGAAGAGCTGAGCTTGGGAGATGGAAACAAAGTTAGGGGATGTGGCAGGTTGGGAAGAACTGGGGGATCCAGTAGCTCTGAGAACTCCACATGAGGAAAGGTAGGTGGCATGGAGACTGTAGGAGACACTGGTGTTAGGCTGGACAACCTGTTAGTCAGCTTATCCATACCAACATCCAGCTCTGTGTAGTAGAAGTCCTCTTCTCCATCATTCTGCTCTGGCTCTGCCTGTCTCCTGCCAGGAACAGCAAAGTGAGAGCATAAATTCTGGCCAGGCCTGACCCCACCCTGACCAATCCCCCAGTCCCACTGCACCCCAGGTGCACCAGGTGGACGTGTCTCTGCATCCCGGACGCTGTGCTCAGACCTCCCCACAGCTCTTCCACAGGCACTGGAACATGACCTGAAGAGAGCTCTGGAGTGATAGGGGCCTAGGTCAACAGCAGCCATCCTGTCCAGCCCACCCCTGGAGGGGATTTTCCCATACTTACCTTCCTTTTTCTCAGGGTGGCCTCCCAAACAGAAGGTGGGCTGCTTCTGGGGGCAGCGGGGTTGATGGAGTGAATGGAGAAGACATGGCTGGCCTCCTTCCAAGGCTCCAAGCCAGATTCTGCAGGGACATTCCATTTAGAAGCTCAGAAGTCTCAAGCTGCTTTGCAGAAACTGCTGCCTGCTGGCTCTCTCCAAGTCCCTGATTGTGAGTTGCCACCTGTTGATGTGAGCCTTGAGGAGTAGGGGCAACTAGGAGAATTTGGCCTCAGAGACTTGGGGAGAAGCTTCTCTAGCAGAGAAAAGGTAGGTGTGCTTGGCATGGCCAGGAAGCAACATGGCCAGCAAAGTAGAGGTATAGTTTTGGCCTCAATGAGGGGCACTCAGGATCCAGATGTCTCTTAGAGAGCTTGAGGCAAGCTTAGAAGGCGGCATATTAGGTTTGAGGCTTGGTGGCTTTAGTATCCTGGAATAACAGAAGTTCTGGACCCTGTCCATACTTGAGCATAGTTTTCTGAGTCTCACCCTGGGCTGAAGGTTGCATCTAGGGGCCCCAGACACAGCGCTGGTAGATAGGTTTGTAAGGATTGCAGCAGCCATGACCTCTTCCAGCCTGGTTTTTTCTGGGGCTATGCTGGAGATGAGGTCAGGGCTCAACAAGTGCTCTAGGCTCCTCCCCTGGTCCAGCATACAGGTGCTGGGCTTGGACACACATGGGCATCAAGCTGCCTCACTCCAAGTTCTGGGCAGGAGCCCTGGCTCCACCCCCAGCTCAGGTTGTAGAGCTGAAAATCCAGGAACCATAAAACAAGATGGGGATCTACATAAAGGCCTGAGTTCTCCATAACCAGCTTTGTTCCACAATGCCTTCAGACCCTGGTGCTGAGCAGAGGTCTGAAGGCTCACCATAAGGGGCGAGGCCAGCTATGGCTCAGCTCTTCCCGCCAACACACATTAACCGCAGCTGTGCAACAACAACTGTGGGCCAAGTGCCAGGCCTCGGAGGGCAGAGCAGCAAGCCTTTGGCAGCAGTTAGGGAAACTGTGCTCTAAGCACAGGCAGGTTCCCAACCTCTGCTGCAGTTCATCAGAAGTATAGGGCTGGCAAGTGGGGAGGTGGAAGCCAGGGAATCAGATTCCTAGATAGGTTGGGACCCTGACTCCTTCTCCACTGAAGCCTTCAAAGGCTGACATCTGTGCCAGCATGTACTGCTCCAGCACACACTGGCGCTGCACACACACACACACACTCCTAGTCTTGGGCATCAGCCCACCTCACCTCTTTACTGGCACTGGCATGTGATCAGAAGGCGTTGGGAGCATGCTGTGGCTCTGAGAACTCTAAGCCTACAAGGCTGCCACCTATAGAAGGGCCCTGAAAATAGGGGTTGGAGAGCTCTGTGGAGGAGTTGGCCTAGGGAACCCAGACTCCGCCTCAAATCTGGTGCCAACTCCCACACCGGATGCAGCTTGTGTGGACTACCTGGCCCCGCCCCCTGCTCTGGTGGCGGGAAGTGTCTGCTTGGCCTCTCAGCTCCACTTGACCTGACCCACAGACACGCACAGGCCGACGCAGCACCCCCAGCTGCCAACGCCTTCAGGGCCCAAAGTTTGTGCAAACCTGACACCATCTTTGCAGGGAAAGAAACTCTGGCAGTGCCCTTGTCCACTACTACCTGTGGTGGTGTGGGCACAGTAACCGGCATGGCTCTGACTCAGGCCCTCTGCATTCAGGTACTGAGTCGTGATCCCTAGGTCCTGACCCTCAGAGTGGGGCGGGTAACATTCACAGACCCAACCCAGTTCCGGGGGCGCTCAGCCTCCATGGTCGTCTGGAAGCCTATGTTACAGAAGTAAGGCTGGACTTTCTAGACTGCGCCCCAGGTCAGGGCCAGGCCAGTCGAACCCCACCCAGGATCCGGCCTCCACCCCCAGGACCCGCAACTGCCTGACGGACTACACCCACTACGAAGCCCCGCCCCGGTGCGCACACGAGGCAAGCACCCTAAGTGGTCCGCGCCTGGCCCTGCCCGGGTAGTGGAGGGGCTGGCTCAACTCAGACTAACAGCTTCCACACTGCAGCCTGGAGGGCTGGTTTCCCCGACCGGGGTAAGCGCTGAGCTATCAGTTAGGAAAGTGCTGCTGCACTTTCTTGGCCAGCCTCCTAGGAACAAGTTATTCTTTAATGCTGGACTGTCTACCTCTGCCTACTTATGTAACCTCAAGGGATGGTAGCAGAGGCTCCAGGAGGATCTGAGAGTCCAGATCCCACACTTCTAAGTGGCCATGCTGTCCCAGACCCTCCAGCCTGGGAAACCACCACAGCAAAGGGCTCGTTTGCCTTTCTTCCCGCCCACTGACTAATGAGTCTCACAACCAGGTCATGACATCAGGGGCCAGGGACCAGGTATAAGGAAACTCTCCCAGAGGTCAGAAAGGGATATCTATAACCCTTTCGGAAAACTCCCACTCCAACCTTCCGAGCTTTCAAAAAAAGCAACCGAGAGCCAATCTTATGTGACAGAGATTTAATTAGGCCACAAGGACTGGACCTGAAATTTGTGCTGTCAGCTGTGGGGGTGTAAGGACACAGAAGGATCTGTAATCAAACACTGCCGAGGCAGAAGCCTTGGTACCCTTACTATGTCAGCTCATGTTAATAAACAGGATGTACGGCCTCAACTTCTCAGGGGCCCATCTCCCTGATGCTTTCATACACATTTTCTAAGGGATCTTGGTTCATATCCTGGCCCCTGAGAGTGATGGCCTCATATTCCACATCACTCCCAAGGGCCAGAATTGCTCTCCCACCCTGGGGGTCCGGCTGATCTGTGTCAGGTCTTGGGTCTCTCCTTTTAGGCTTGCAGACCCTGGAGTACAGGAGATCCATCTGGAGAGAGGAAGCAAACCCAGGGAGGGCTTGGCATTTTCCTCTGCCAAAGGTGGGCTCAGTCCCATCTACCCTACCCTACCCCAACTCACTTTACCTGAGTAGCTGGGATCACCTTAGCCTTCTGCTGTAATTCTTGGTAGCCCTGCTCTGTCTCTTTGCGCTTCTGGATGCAGGCATACTCGGCCCCAGGCCCAAGCTTGGCACAGCTAATGGTCAGCTGTGTTCCAGCCCATACCACAGGGCTAGCAGCCAGGCTGGCCCTGGGAATCGCAGCCAGCCCCACATTGGAATAAGTGGCCTCGGGGCTAGTAGAAGGTGCAGTTGCAAGGGCAGCAGGAGGGGCCCTGGGCAGCTGCTGAGGTGGGAAGGCAGAGGGAGTTACTTGAGACCTGGTGCTGCCCCTGGATACCTCCAGCCAGTGTGGATGCAGGAGATCCATGCTAGCAGGCCGTGGGGCTAGGGATAAGATCAAGGCAGAGGCCACTGAGGGGCTAAGGAAACAGGACTAGGCCCAGTGGATCGGCCCTACATTTATGGCCTCCCAGGAGCTCACCTATGCTGCAGCGTGGGCCTTGGTGAAGCTCATGCAATCTGGTGTCAGACTTGCTGAGGGAGCAGAGGTGGGTCTGTCTCAGCAGTGACTAGGGACAAGGAAGGCTGGTTGATTCCTTGCTGTCCTTGCCCTGACCCCAGGGACAGTCTGGCACTCACCATTTCCACTGGTATCAAACTGCCCTGTAGCTCAGTTTGTTGCCTTTGAACCCGCTTCCTGGGGGCAAGAGTGCTGTTAGTCCAGTAGGTAGAGGAAGGTGCAGGGGTGATCAGATGCTGGCCCAGGCTCAGTGTAGAGGCACATGCAGAGCCCTCATATGGACTTCTCTGTTGTGACTTGACTCTGAGCCATGCAGGAGGAGGGCAGACAGAACCCCAGGCACATACCTGTGGCAGGCTGTGCACAGTGCCCACAGCCAGAGGAGCAGGGAGAAGCACCCCATGACCCAGAGGGCTAGTGGGGCTGAAGGCACTGATGGCCTCATCTTGTAAAGCAGGGAGGAGGGACCTGAGGACAGAAAAAATGAGCGCTGGGGGCTGACTGGGGAAGCAGTGCACACCTGCAGCTCTACTTGAGATCTTGCCCAGCTGGTGGGTTCTTCCTCCCTCCCTGGCTGACTCAGCACACCGGAAACCCCCAGGCCTTACGTTTTTGCCCTGCCCTATGGGCACCCACTGAACCCTCTGGCTAGGGTTCCTTTAGTTATCAGAGATGTCTATGGAAATGGAGGAGCATGGCCAGGGGCAGCTATGACCTGAACAAGGCTATACTGTACTCACTGTAGCTCAAACTCATTACCTGGGGGAAATCTCTGATATCACTCTGACTTTGAGCCACAGACCACAGACCTCACCTCCAGCCACCACTGCCCAGGAGTGACCCCTTGTGTCAGGTGATGTTCCTAGACTACTCACTACAGAAGCTAAGCAGTTGGGGGGGCCACTGAACAGAAAGAGCTGCTATGAAGGCAAAGTATCCCTACCCTACTCCTCCCTTCCCAGGATCCCTGCTTTTCCTAGAGTTGCCCTTATAAGAGCTGATTAGGGGCTCACCTAAGAGTTCAGGGTGAGCAAAATGAGGGTGAACAGTCTTCTGAGGTAAGGGCCTGTCTGTTCAAGCTTGGCGTGTAGACATCTTGCACAGAGGGGGCCGAGTTCACTAACCTGGCTACAGCCAGGTCTCAATCTCCTGACCAGGCAGGACCTATCCCTCCCAGACCCCAGGGCACGGAGAGGCTTGGGGACTGGCCCAGGATGGAGAATGGGGGCAGTACTTACCAAGGCCACCGTGAGGTTGCTGCTTGGCCCTGTCTAGGACAGCCAGGAAGGTCTTTGTGGGCGGCTGGTGAGCTCCTCACCTCATTTCCTGTGTATCTGAGCACCTCCCACAGCCACACATTCTTGCGTAGTTGCTCCCAGTCTCTGTTCACCTCCTCACGTCTCATCATGACTATTTGCCACCGATAGGCAATTATCATAAAACTAACACAGTCCCCTCCACCCCAATGAGGCAGATACCCATTAATGAGGTGGACAGAGCAGGTCAACTGGATGGATTATCAGTGGCAGCCCAAAACTAGAAATGAACCCCAAACCCACTTGAGTCAGGCCTGCCTGCTTTCATCACTGATAGTGTTCCCCAAAGGTGTTTCTACCTCATACCCTATCTGTTTGTGAGTACTAGGTACAAGGGCCACCCTAGGATCTTAATCACTTGGTCAGAGAAGAGAGAAGAGGGAAAATGCTCCTCTCTTAGACCTTAGACAGAGGCAGTGGCCTCATTTTGTAGCCCCCCCACAGCCCTCCTGTCTGTTGCCAGGACCCTCACAGATGCATTTGTCCCCAGAGATCCTGAAGCCAGCTGAGTCTCCAGTAAGAAAAATTATGATGAGATCACTTTAATGTCCTCACTAAGGAGATACCCCAAGACACTGGTAAGTGGGCTTGGCGGGCAAATAAGTGTTCAAAATCAACCCTGACATCCCATATCTACTCGGTAGTGTTCATACACTTTAGGTAGACAGCCTAGGAAATGGGCTGGTCCTTCTTTCAGGTGCTGTTTAGGTGTCAGGGTGACGGCTGTCTTTCTGCCAAGGCAGTTGGGAGTTGGGTCCCAGGGCTCTATCCACAATACAGGCAGAGCTGCTAGAACTCTGTCATCTTCCTGTGAGTATCTGCCTTCTGCTGTTCCCTCTGTAGGCCGGCCTCCTGAGCACGCAGCTGACCCAGCTTCCGCTGGGCTCCTTCCAGCTTCTCTTGCAGATGGGCTGTTGCCATGCTGTGCCTAGGGAAAGCCTGCTGGTCAGCACTGCCTCCTGGCTCCCCACTACCAGGCCCCCAGCTCTGTGGCCAATTCCCGTCCTCCAACACTCAGACCACCTCAGACTCAGGGGCTACTCTGGTCAGGTGACCTTCAACAGGCGTCCTGTGGGCACAGCCACTAGAGCCCACACTGCCTCAGTTGGACCCCACACATACCGGCCAGCATTCCGGGTTAGGGCCTCCTGGATGCCCCGGATGTCTCGTTGGGTCCGCTCAATCTTCTCCTCAGTCTGGAAGAGCTGCAGACTCAGAGCCTGCTTGGCACTTTTGCTGGCATGATACATGTCCTTGTTCCTTCTCCCTGGAGTGTCCAGCCCAGCGTCTGGAGTCCCAGATGCCTGGCTTTGCAGTTTTTCATTCAGAAAGTCAAACACATTCCGAGGGGGTGGGCGGGCCTCGGGTCTACCACCACTCCTCTGACATCTTGGAGGCCTATTGGTCCCAGCCTGGCCTCCCTTTGTCTTCTTCTGTAGTATCTCTGTGCACTGGTCCAGTGATTTCCCTCTAGGCAACACTACAGCATGGATGGGCTCCACTCGGCCTTCTGCATGCCGACCCAAACCTGGGAAAGACGGGGCTTTGTGCTACCTCTGCCAGACTCTTGGGCTATATTGAGGCATCCCTCCCATCTCAGGGCACACACTCACCCTTGCCAAACTCATAGCCCATCTTGATGAGGAGTTTGGAGCCAATGCCCCGTGTGTGTACCTCCCAACCGGCAAAAGCAGAACTGCAGGTCCCAGTGTCCACTGTGTGTGGTTCCACCACTGTGGGAGACAGAAGACTCAAGTAGTGGGTTCCAGTCAATGTTACCCAAGGACTCAGATCCTAGGTAGGGCCTGATCTCCTGGATTTCTGGTCCCCTCAGGTTCTCCAAGCATGCTGTGGTTACTCCTGGCAACTCTGTCTGGACAACTACTACTACTGTAGTAGTAACCAGCTGGTTACTGGTTCTACTGTAACCAACTTCACTGCTTTAGCTTACTATCTGCTACTATGGAACCACCAATTCACATCACAGGTTCCCTGAGACATCTTCCTACCTTCATCCTAACCAACTTCTCAGGAGGACTATACATTACCTAGTTTCATTTCCTGAAATCTCTATTTTACCTAGACACATTTTCCATCTGCTAAGATCTCTTCTGCCCTACCTACCAGGCAACCAAGCTCTAATTCTGAGAAGCCATCTGAAGAAGAAACCCTTTCCTACACTCTACATTCAGTTACTTCCTGTGACCCCTTGGCAGATCTAGCACCAACATTCCCTTCTCTCTGACAGTGTGATGCCACCTTGCTTCAAGGAGTTCTGACTGTTAACATATGATTGTTGTGTCTGTTTCTAAAGGCAAAAGCTAGGTCTTAGGTCTTACCCAGGCCCATCATACACTCTCTGGTCCCTCAAGCCCTCTCCTGTAGATTACTATGCTATGTATATTCACTACATCATTCTACAATTATCCTGGAAGCTGAGTGCCTGTCTAGGTGATTATCACCAATCTGCTCTACTCCCTTACCATCCTGGCTTCTGGGCACTGATTTCTGCCATACCTCGGGCATAGCTGGAGTCACCTGCATCACCACTGTCTGAGTCAGATGATTCTGTAGCCTCAGTGCGCAGAGGAGGCAGGATGCTGTCTCCCTCCACCACAGCCTCCTTCAGCAGCAGTGAGTCAAACTTAACAGTATAGTAGCCATTGTCCACATCTAGAGTGATAGAGACAGGCTGTAGATTAGCAGCTTTACAGGCTGAGCAACCAGTTAGGAGCAAAGTGAGAAACAGGAAGGGAAAGGGCTTGGGGCAAAGGCAGACTTGCTCCTCTTGAGCCCAGATGAAGTCAAAGCCCAACCCAGAGGAGGTGGAAAATGGCTAGAACAGCGAAGATGTTTCAAAAAGGGTCCCACCAGGTAGGTCCTTGTAGGCAATCTTACCAGTGATCCGTGCTGGGTGCCAAAGGCCATCCTGGTGCTTGGCCAGACATGCAGAGCCGGCCTGCAGTAAGCTCAAGTCTGGATCCTGGAAGGGACGCAGCTCATCCACAGAGACCACCTGCCCATGGGAGAACCTGTAGATACAAGCACAGGAGACAGTGGCTTAGACATGGCCCACCAGGAGCAAGTGAGCCCAGAACATAAAGACCGTCAACAGGGCACTGCCGATCATGGAGTGAAATTCAAGTCAAGACAGGCACACCAGCAAAAACATCTATACTTTCATACCTATGGATTTATGCACATATTTCTCTCTAACACACATACATATTCATATATTCTCACTCATATATGAATGTACAGGTACTGTCACGCATATACATATATTTATACTCACATATACCTGCATATCTATATATACAATATCTCTCACACACATGTATGCACATACTACCATACAGCTATGTACACTAAACACACATGTACATATGCATATGAATGCATAGAATGAACCCACAAACATACATATACTCTCACAACACATATGCATGCATGCATGCATACATACTAAATATATAAATAAATAGAATGTACCTACACACATACATACACCCTAAAACACACACACACATGTATACACACTGGAATTTTCTCTTTTAGGACACACAGGGCTACTTTGGGGAGATGGCCTGTGTTTCTATCAGCTTCCTAGGTTAGGGTGACAATGTAGCACAGAGCCTAGTGTGGTCTCTCACCAAACATGATGCTCTTGACACAAATATTCAAGGCAGATGTGTTGGATGTTGGGATACATTGAGTCCTCCCTGGGCATGGGCACTTGGAAGGCCAAGGCAGGGTGATCATGAATTTGAGGCTAGTCTGGGCTACACAGAGATCCTTCTCAAAACTTGAAACAAAAACTAGAAGAAATTAGTTACAATGGTGCTGTGTCTTTTATACTTCAGTGCACCTGTAAAATTAAAACCAAAACCAAATCTGACAGAAAACAAAGAGGAAATGTAGAGACACAGAAGATTGCAGCCAAGAACTTTGCCAAATAAAGGCATGAAAAAGCTAACCACCAACTACCAATTTCAGACAGGAAGTTGTTTTAACCCCAAAAGAGCAGCTGAGGGGATTCACTCTAGGATGGCTGGGGGTTCTTCCTAAGCAGTAATGAGCAGGTAGGGAAAGAGGGAGATGAGACAAAGAAAAGTCAGAACTTGCCATAGCTCACACCTACAGCCTCTGCTACCCCACGCTCAGGCCAGGATTCCAGGAAGTACCTTCTCACACCAACTATCTTAGACATACAGCTAAATGGCATCAACAGTATAAGACTGCGCCACCAAAGCACAGCAAAGACTGACTAGGAAGTCCTGTTCAACTGAGAACTAAGGACCAACTGATGTATTCAAAGGGACTCAGACGGCAGAAGAACTGATTTCCACAAGCTGCCCTCTGTTCTCTGTGCTCTCATAGTGGCACTTGCATGCCTCCATGTAAAATAAATAAGTATTTTTAAAGGGGGCTGGAGAAATGGCTCAACAATTAAGAACATCAGCTGTTCTTACAGAGGACTCAGGTTCAATTCCTAGCACCTACATGGTGCTCACAGCCATGTGTAATTCCAATTTCAGATGATCTGACATCCTCTTCTAGCCTTTGCAGGTACCAGGCATGCAAGTGGTGCACAGACATACATACAAGCCAAACACTCATACACATAAAAACAAAAACAACAGCGAAACATGCTTAGGATCAGAAGTGTTTCCAACTTGTATTTTTTAAAAAAAAATATTAGTAGTATCATATTAGTGCTCAAAAAGTTTTGGATTTGAGGGGGCTAGGAAGCTGGCTCAGTAGGTAAGAGAGCTTACTGTGCAAGTGTGAGAACTCAAGTGTAAATCCCCAGTGCCCACATAAAAAGCTGGATGTAGACCTGAATGCCTAGAACCCCTGTGCTTTGGGGAAAAACAGAGACAGGATGATTGTTAAGAGTTGCTATCCAAAAACCTGAGAGCTCCAGGCTGAGAGACCCAGTCTCAAGGGAATAAGGACACTCAATGTCCTCCTCTGCTTGCACATACAGAGTTTAAAAAAAAGTTTTAGACTTTGGAGCATTTCAGATTTTGGATTATTTGGAATAGATGCTTCACTTGTATACTTTTTTTTACCTAACAAGTGATTCTAAGAAAGAATTTCTGGGGACCTGATGGAAGCAGATGCAGAGATCCATGATCAGGCCCCAGGTGGAGCTCCGGGAGTCCAATTGGTGAGAAAGAGGGGGGATTGTATGAGCGAGAATTGTTGAGACCATGATTGGAAAAAGCACAGGGACAAATAGCCAAACTAGTGGAAACACATGAACTATGAACCAATAGCTGAGGAGCCCCCATGAAACTGGATCAGGCCCTCTGGATAAGTGAGACAGTTGATTAGCTTGAACTGTTTGGGAGGCCCCCAGGCA